TGTAATTGAACAGACAACAATAACATTCCGGTTACAGCTACCTGCGTCGTACCAGAATTTAACTTTTATGAACAGTAATAAGGAACGAGAAATTCCAAGGAAGAGGAAAATTTAAGCTTTGGTTCTAACACAACGGCGATTTCCTGAGCCTATCTATCCACTGTTTACTTTCATAGACTCCACATAAAGATATTTGGGCTGGTGTTCAATCATTTAGTTCTGAGAGACAGTATGAGTAATTTTAAGTTATGGCGGCTTCAAGTTATAAAAGCCCGCTGAGCACGTTTCAAATTCAAGCCTCTTGATCCGAACAAACTGCTTAAAGCAGGTGTATATTAGGAATCTCAGAGTAAATGTCGACGGGGTGGGCCCGCAAGCAAGTGCAATTATCCACTGAGGCATTGCATTTTAACCGCAGGTGGCGCGACTTACAACGAAAAAGAATGGTTCCGTTCTCTCCTTTTAGGACAGCTCTGCCTAGAAGATTTCGTGGTCATGTCTACGGTGGTCAGTCAAAATTTAGCAGCTAGTAAACATGCCCTTCGCAAAAGGTACACATTGTCAGAATAAGAGGTAGTATTCTCGTATAATAAATTACACAAACCACGACGACAGTGAGACAACGATCCTAGGGGCTAATCAACACACCCCAGATTCTATATGAACACATCCATTGAGTACACATGCTACCAGGGGGTGAATATGCTGTTAAAATCTCGACAATTACGTGGATTATATCAAGCATACAGTTCGTCCTTACGTCGGTAAACGGTTGGGTGCGAGGTTGAAGTTGTTTAATCTGGGTTTACACCAGAGGGATAACTGGCCATGACAATAAAGCATTGAAAACTCCTTACTCTGAACTTAAATCATAATTGAAGAGGTTTAAAAACAAGCAGATACATGAATAAATAAAAACTAGGCAGGATAGTCGTAGGAGTGGTGAAGACAACGAAAGCCAGGCATAAAAATACTTGCTCGATTAAAAATTAGGCAAGCAAACCAATCAAGGTTATTAGTGAAGCTTAGGGTAGTCTAAACCTACGCCATTCACAGCAGCAATAACAAGTGGTTAAGGCACGAGAAAGGCGGATTAAGAACAGTAGCAGTATTGAATGGCATCCCTGAGCAGAATGTGTGAAACGACTACATTAACGACATTCGTAACGCTGTTCTCGCTACTATTGTAACTGCAGTAGACTTAATTTTGAAAATGGTGCAGAGCATAAAGGGGAGAATTTAGTTAATGAACGCATTTCGCATCGACATCGGAAGAGGTCCTATAGCACGATAGATAATTTTCCGTTTCAGGAAGTTAACAAGTTCAAATTAATGTACCTTCTTTAAATGTCTAATGAACGCTTACGTAAACTAGACTGGCCGCAAAAGACTAAGGTGGTTGTTATTCAATTGTGATAATCAGTGCTCTTATGGGGAATAACATAAAAAGTACCAAAAAGGACGTTAAAATGATCCTTATTCGGGTCTGATGATAAATCCTCCACTGAGAATATATGCAAAAAGCGATTTTGACCGACTTCTACTTATCATCGGTGCCGATGTACTTGAATCACAGAAGCGAAAATAAGTCAATCTAGTGCCTGTCCTTGTAAAACCAGCGAAGGGTGATTTACTTCTGACCGGAAAATGACCAGAATTCGACTTGTGGGGGGGGGTAAACAGTCGGGAGAGGGTGAATTACTACTGGTCATATTGACCGACGACCTACCTGAGCGAGTTGGCAGCCAAGAACATGAGGGTCTCGGCTCTGGGTATGCCATCGCCGAAACCGGTCTCCCGAGTAGCATCGCGGAGGGGAGACGGTTGTGAAGGAGAGGAGACGTTGAACTGTATCGGTGAGTCGGTACAACGCGACTTCTTCACAGCCGGCTCCGCGATGGACGCTAAAGTCAACACATGCGCACACAGTCAGACATTCAGCCGAACAGCGGACAGGCAGTCGGACGAGCGAGCACTATCATCGGTGCAAGGATCGACTGCCTAGAAGTCTCATTTATCGTTGTATACACACCCAACTTAGAAGGAGGTCATGAGTTTCAGGGTGTGGGGGGGGACAGAATCATAGAAATGTCCGATGGAACGGCCAAAAAGGTTAGCTTACTCTCAGTACTGCAGGGTAGGTCTGCTACCATACAACTCGGGATAGCTAAGACTAAATGAAGAGGGATGCCTATCCACCGTTTTCACAGGAATCAAAATTTACCAGGTAACGAGAGAGGTAGGCATGATTAGTGTAAGTAAGAATCTACGAAATTTTCGTTCCGTTAGTTTATAGACATGCAACTGTAGATATTTTGTACTCTAAAAACGAATTGGAGAGTTGGGTGTAACCATCACTCACATGTCACATAACGACGGGAATCAACGCGGGCAGAAAGCCGAATATAAAAGAAGGTTGGCAGCTGGAGACAGGTGATAAGCGATGCTGAAAATGGCCTATCGACAGCGTACGAGGTACCACCATAT